ACATTAATGCCAGCCGGTATGTAGCAAAAAAACCCAAAACACACACACAAAAAAACAGTATAAACACTTAATAAGTCCCGCTCTGTCAACCCGGATGGGTGCTGGCATAGTAGGAGTAGTAGCTGTGAGCTTTCCCCCGGTACCGCTAGTGTGCTTGTAAAGGCAGTTCAGTCCTTAGCCCGGCATGGTGGGGGTCGTGCTTGGTAGCACAGGGTGCCATCAGCCATCTGTCATTGCTCATCCGATGCCGACTCTGTTTTTTGCCTTTTTTTATTCATAGATATCATAAGATGTAATTTTTATCCACCAAAACAGTTGAGGGTTAGGAGGCATTATTGATTTTGTGACGGTTGTTCAGCTTAGCTAATTACACGAGTGGAATCTCTGTTTCATACTTATGTTTTCTTCTAGTGAATTACTAGAAAGATTTAAAAGGTTACTTCAACCACCATGACCACTTCACTGATTTGAAGTGGTCATGGTGGTGGATGCAGTGTTTCATCTTGAGACGCATGCACTCTGAGCTGGCAATTGGTCCATCCACAGGCTTCTCTGTGTTTGGAATGCACGTGGGCCCAGCGACGTGAGCACAGGGAATGGTAGGCAGCGCTAGAAGCTTTGCCCAGCGCTGGATTCCAAGTAAGTAAGCAATCGGAGTGGAGGGACCTCCCCCATATTGCACAATATGACATTTTACATAGGAAAGGTTCCCGCACTCCAAAGGGTTAAAGTAAGCCTTTAATATTCTTTTCCCCCCTTCTCTTGATAGCAAAGAAAAACCCTCAGTAATCTGATATTCAGAATTGGACAAAACATTTCTGTGTTCTCTACCCCTTCCTATTAATCAAGAAAAAGGTTACATGTTCTACTTAATGTTGCTATCATTTATGACTTGTATAATCCATACATTCATATTATTATTATTTATTTGATTTTTACATCAGTACATTGACACACACTGAATTTATATGCAAACAATAAACAGCTTTTTAACAACAAAAATATGACTTATTTCTGTGACTCTTTTTCTTTTCTGTCCATTAGTTGATTGAGCATATTATCTCCTGGATTTTGGTAATATGATGAAATATAGGTTCTAACCACTAGGTAACAATGCCTGATTTAGTAGTAAATTTTAAGCCATAATGACATTTCCAAAGCTTAAGTTCATGGTTCTGTTAGACTTCTGCAAAAACGAATCTCACCCAGTTCATCCAAATCAATTTTCTTTTAATCCACACCCAAACGAACTGATTGATCTGGAATCTACCTGTAAAGTCTTATTCATTAGTACTCGGACACACCAACAACATGAAGCTCCTAAAAAGAGGGACATTGGGATCGAAAAGAGGGACAGAGGGATTTGGGCCTAAAATAGGGACTGTCCCTCCTACCTAGGGACAATTGGGAGGTATACAGAGTCAGTCATTTTTGTGTACTACATGTCTGTGGCCTGCATTCACAGATTTGTAGCTGTGTACCTGAAAATAATTTGAATGGATTCCACATAAATCTGCAATGGCATTATAGCAACGTCTGCGATTTTGTAGACTCCCTAGCCATTATATTTTATGAACCAGATATTTGTGTTTTACATTCTTGTGGTTTTAGCCAAGCTGAATTTCATGGGGATAAAGGGATATTTCGGACATAAGCATGTGCAGTGCTGTAGCATAAAAACACCACGTGCCAGACGTTGCTGTGTTTTATTGCTTACAGATAACACCAACCTGCCCTTTGGAACATTGGTCAGACCTATGAAAAGTGGTACGTTATAGCATTATATTGCAACATAGGATGCCACATTCAACCTATCACACTTCTATTCATCCTTAGGAAGCCAGAATTACCCAGTGCGATTTCTAAATGTGCTGTAAAAACCTGTGCAACCAGCATCTAATAATACCATTTTCTAAATTATAGCCTTAAAAACCTGCCTTCTCCAATTCCATTCTGAAAGAACTATTCATTTTGTCAGAACATTTTGTAGGCAGAGAATTCCATGTCTTTGTTGTGCTTACTGTAAAGAACCCTTACATTAATCTGATGTTCCCCTTATTGATTTAATCACCTCTGTTTTTTGGGGGTTTTTTCTTGCTCAACAAACTCCTTCTTGATAATGTTGTACATCAAATGCACAACATATTATAGGTGGGGTCTTACCATTTATTTATAAATAGACATAATTATATCTTGGTCGTTTCAATGAATACCCCCTTTTTTCCCCAACATAACCGCACAGTGCTTGCCTTGAAGCTTCTAAAAGGCATTGCATGTTGTTGCCTTGTTAGGTATTTTAAATTGTCACCTAGTCTTGTTTAATAATAACCATAGATCAACCCCAGTTGCAGCTTAGATTACATGTTTACTCCCTATCCCAAAATGTATAACTTTGCATTATACTACTTGACTTTCTTCTGCCTTCTCCTGCACCTTATTTATCCCAAAAAATGAAATATGTGTGCGTGGTGCTTAAAAATGTTTTTGACAATATTTTCTCAATGTAATATTAAAGTTTTTCTTTACATACACATGCAATACCATAAAGTGTAATTCACATTTAAACAGTGTCAAAATAAATAGACAATAAAAACACTATACAACACTGTACAGAAACACTTCGCCTTCTCATATTAATATATGTGTCGCGCTTTCTAACCCAATTATATTGTACTTCACAAATTATCCTAATTATTGAGATTGTTCCATATGTATCTGAAAATATATATAAAACTATATAGTGCAGACAATCTGTGCAAAATTAACATAAAACCTTTATTCCTAACTCTATAATAATAAGACTCACATATACCAGAGCCTACCTAGCTCTGGGTCTTAATAGCTCCAATATTAGAGGGAGTATAACCCTCAAACTAAAATCTTGCCACTCTTTATTTCTTCAGCACATGATATGGAGAGAGAACAGAACACCCCAATGGCCTAGCATCGCAACAATTTATTTAACTCATAAAAGATTATAAATGCTTGCTTTGATAACAGGTGAGCTCTCAGTAAGAGAAAACTCACAAAACACGATCAGAACACACTCAGTGGCGTAGCTAGAGCTTTTGCCGCCCTGGGCTGCCCCTATCTCGACCCATGTCATGTCCGGTGCAGTCACGGACGTCCGTGGCTGCACCAGACATACCTATTTTAAGTACTCAACGCCTCTAGCCCAACAAAACAACCTTTTCAAGCTTTTTTAAGATATACACCCAATGAATACATGCATAAAACATTCATTCATGTAATTAATCGGGGGCATATCTACTAAACAGTGATTTTATTGGGTGAGGGGCGGTTGCCCATTTAGGCAGAGTGTTCGTTTAAATAATTGTTTAAATAACATTAGATAAAGCTTAAAAATGTATAAGTTCTGAAAACCATCCTATGCTGATATTCTAAAATACACACATTCACAAATATTAAAATCTGTGCCACAAACACCAAACATAAGACAACATAACACGGTGCTATATGAAAGAGAAACAATCATTTCTAAATAGGACAAAATGGAAGAGATTCATCAAAATGTTTAACTCTATCTAATTTTCATTGATTTTTTGTTGAATGTTTTTGGCTCAATTTATTACATCTGTTGGTTTTTGTTTATCTGTTTCTTTTCGGTCATTTATCAATATTTATGCCACTTTTTCCAGCATAAGATTGGCTGAATTTTTCTACCACTATACACTTTGCAGTCTTTTATCATAAAAATGTCTGCTAAAACTGGAGGAGTTTACTACGAAGAAAAACTGTTTTTAAATTCTTTATTTTTGTGCCCGATAGGCAAGGCAAGAACATGTCAATAAAAGGCTTGCGCAGAAGCCGCATTATAATAGAACATATACATAGACATCAATGTTAACATTGGCCTCTGTGGCCCGCCTCTTTACATTTTCTTTACAGCTTGCCCCCCATCGGGGATTTTATTTGTTTATTGGCTGTTACAGTTAACTTCCCAATTTTCATACCATATATATAGTGTGAGCAGTGCTGCTGTGAGGCCCGCGCAGGAGCCTGTATGTTAGTGTTCTAACTTGGAGAGTTGGATTGGGGCCATGGGAGAAAAACTGTTTTTAAATGACTTTAACACAACTAAAATAGTGATGGAATTTAACCACCACTTTTCAGATCCCTTTGAAAAAATATACCCCTATGTGTCAAAATGGAATATTTAAATGCAGCTCATCTTCACACTGCGTGGACTTCCCTGTTGTACATTTTGTGTACCTGTATAAAGTAGTTTTGGCTCTAGTCTAGAGCGATCATATAGACTAGCACAAAATATCCAATAGAGGGCACCAACATACAGTGAAAACTTGAAGCAATTGATAATTTCCTTTAGAAGGAAAAAATATTGTCTTAGAAGCTTTATGCCAACTGATGGCCTGCTTCAAAATGTTGTGTAAACCTGTTCTTTTGGTGTGAAAACAGTGGGCAACAGGATTAAATAAAGGTAGAAACTTATTGTATAATATTGTATTATTTACTGTTTAAATATGTTCATTTAAAAAAAAAAAATTTTAAAAAATTATTCATAAAAATAAAAGGATTTGTTCTGTAAAATTTGGATTCAGTCACAAGGTCACATGTGGCCTTAAGGACGTAGGTCCTCCACCCTGGAGTAAGTATTTTATATTTTATTACAAATCAAGATGTGCCTTTATAAATGTTGGCACAATGCTCATACAAGGAACTTCACCTGTAGCATGTGATAAAGTCAACGCTCACGCATTTTAATTTGTTTCCTAAAAGCTTACTTGAATTGACTGGCTGCGTCAAATATGATTTCAATCAATACTTTTGATCTTGGCAGCTTTCATAAGGTTTAAAAAAATATATTTAGAAAAAGAGTTCAAACAGCAACCAGTAGAGGATGTAAGCTTGCTGGTGCTCCCCCAAAGAAGAACACTTTCTATTTAATATAGTGCAGAACTGGCAATAAAAAAATAAAATATTATTCCCATTCTGTCTGGTGCAGACTATATTAATCGATCCCTTGTGATGCTCTAATGCTCAGTGAAGGAGTCAGAGCACAGCTGCCTGTATTCCTAGCCTGTGCTCTGACTTCCTCAGTGCCGCACCATAAGCAGGTGGTCTGCACTCCACCACCGGACCACCAGGAATTCTTTAGTAAGGCTACTGGACCACCAAGGATTTATCATTAATGGAACACTACAAACACCATAACCACTACAGCTTTATTTAGGTCCACTGGGCACCACTCAACTTCCATGTCCTCAGAGCTGGAAGTTCCTCAGGAACTTCCGTTAACTCTCCTGTACTAAGTCCTATAATGCTCTACAAGGCACATTTGCTGATAGCAGTCAGCTGGGGGATGTCAAGGCTCTCCTGGCAATGCATCATCATGATCACTCCATCGGAAATCATTGTAGTGGAGAGCTGGTCTCCCACAGCCTATTTCTGCTGGTATTCTAGAATGGCTCAGGAACAAGTAGTAAATCCAATAGAGTAGCAGGCACAATCAGCAATATATTCCAAGAATATCCCATCACCTTTCCCAATAACTGGATGACACACAGTATCAGGAGCAGAACTTAACTAACTTTTAATCACGCAACCCCTGCTTTTTTGCAATGCTCCCGTGCAAGGGAGCCACCCACAATAATTAGTACATTAACCAATAAAGTACAAGGTACAACCCACACATCTCCTCCCATCAGCTTATCTGTTAACAGAATTAAAATGTACATATTTTTCCCCAAGTTCTAGATGTACCCCAAATACATAGGATACACCCCTGATAGCCCTGATTTGGGTGAATAACATATTCAAAAATCACCCAGATCGGACCAGGGGTTCGGGAGTTATGGGCAAATAAAGTTTTGACCGACCGCACAGGCAGCAGTATCCGAAAATAGTTCCATAAGTTTTGGCCTTGCGGTCGGTCTCTGTTCGTGAAATAAAAGTCCCAAAAGGCTTGCCATCCATGGCTTTGCTGGCATTCGTGTGAATCCCCATGTTAGTATGAGTCTTTCTACCGAACGGCAGCTCGTTCGGAAGTTCCAGTCCAAAGATATGGAAGTCTGGAGGTCTCAGCGGTGTTTGCTTAGTCAAGTGTCCGAATTTTAGTTCCAGACACTTAACGGCAAAATACAGCTGTTTAGGAGATTAAGATGGCCGCCGCCACGTGTTAAACTCCCGAAAAGGCGGCCACCCAGGGACTTAATCGAGCGTTTGTAAATTTCCACTTAAGAGGTAATAAAACGAATTTGGAGGTTGATTGAAGCCACACTTTGTATCAGGGTGGTCTGATGTTCGGTATATTTAGTTCGTATGATGAATGCAGTGGGTCAATACAGTTTTATGGGGACAATCAAACGAATGCTTCATACTCTGAAGATATATATAGCAGCAAAGTACCAAAAGCATTTTAAAACACACAGTTTTGCAGACAGCTCAATGTCCTTTGCTGCATAAGTTATATTGTCCGAAGTCTCTGCTACAATCATTAATCCCCCACTACTATTTATTATTAACCCACAATGGATCAACAGAAAAGATAGCCCCACACCCTGCAAAACAGGTAAGCAATTTTTTTCTATTTTATTTTAGTAATGAAGTTAAATTTAAATTAACACTCACCATATATCACACAGAGTCTTGCCTTTGTTTTGCAGTGTTGGCACTTTGAGATTAATACATTGGTTTTGTCACTCCCTCACCACCCTACTCTCCATTGCCAACTTTCCACTGCTATGCTATGTCCCCACATCTGCACATTCCACTAACACCCAGCCTTTCGAATAGCCCCCCATTTCACTGTCCCATACACCCCTTATACCTTAACACCCACCATGTCACGTAGCCCCCACCTCACCCCATCTTCACTTTTTGTTAACACTTTCCTTGCCAACACCCATGCACATAGCCATTCAATCACTCACCCAGCCACACTGACCCAAACAAATTCTTCTACCCACCCTGTCATGAATTTCATCTGACCTCACAGGCATGCACAACATCCCACCATAACACATTCGCGCACCCAATCACATACCATGACACCTACAACATCCGGCTTCCCACCTGGTCAAATATTTACACCCATTCCCATGCCCTCCCATTAACACTCCTAGTCCAAGTAAATGCTACTTTCACCCATGCAATCACATACCCCAATCCAGTCTAGTCTAGTTTAGTTCAATCATCTAAATCACATACCATGTCTAATATTCCTATAGACTCACATAAAACTACTCAGTTACATACTCCTGTCTACCCACTTTCAATCATCCAAATGCCTAAATTCAGAGGCTAATGCACTAAACTGGGAAATCCAATCATGATTGGCAAGGACTTTTGATTTCTGTCTAGAAACCTGGCCGTGATAAACCATCTTATAATTATTTTCTACATGTCGAACACGACTTTAGTGTTGCTAAAAGAATAGCAGAACAGCCACATTTTATTTGACATTTTATTATACACTGCACCTAATCGATTGCCCCCTAAGCTAATTCTGTACATATATCTAGTTTTAATAACTATGATTTATAAAAATGCTCTAACCCAGTCACCATGAGTATGGCTAACCTTTCTTTGAGTTGATTAAGGTTTCCTTAGCAGGGATCTGTGCAGCTCTGGTTTGGAGAATATGTTCTTGCCTGATGTAAGTCTAAGAGGGTTATTCACGAAAGTGTGAATTTCAAATTTAAGGTCAAAATAATCAAATTGGGAAAGTTCTTCAAGTTAGCAATGCTTTCAGTAGGCTATTTTGGAAATTACATTTTTAAAATTCAATTCGAATTTCCGACAACTCTCACTTTAGTAAATAACTCTATGACGTATCCTGACAATTAAAACTGGTTGGTAAATGACTAAACTCTCTTCCTAATCCCATAAGGGTAGGTCAAACCTGTCCATTTTAACACTTCTACTTGTCTGATGTACAAACATTAGTGCATCAGACTAGATCAAAGGGACCACCGTACTGGGCAGGGAGAGGGGGGAAGCAAGGCCCATTACATGTGCATGACATCTATGCTAATCTCCAATCTGTAAGAGCTCTCATCAAACATGCAATGACTTCAGCAGAGCTGCCAGTGTGAAGATCAAGTGAGAACAATAATCTTTAGGAATTAGAATATAACTACATATCCTTTACCATTTTCTATCAGAAATGATATCAAAATCCTCATGGTCTGGTTTGGTTGAGATGTTGCAACCCTAAAGAGGTGTTCCATGTAATGAGATCAGTTCCGCAGCGGTTTACCCAAACAAGGTCCTTGTAAATACCTTGTTGGAAATGTCCACTTTACTGGACCCCGAAGCATGTCTTTGTCTTTATTATTGGAAGCAGAGAGTCCCACAGGAACTTGGGACACCCAAACAAAATCATGTGAGCAGGAGACAACTAACAGACAAGAATCAGCTTCCCTGCAGCCATAGAATAGAACTCTGCATGGGTAGCCCACTTTCTAAGGACATGTATGCATGCCAGGAACAAATCCAGACACTGTCTGCAAGGAATCATAAAAATAGATACTTAAAAAAAACTCACAGTAATAGACAAACGTGATGACGTGAGCGAACGTGCAGGAGGCATGTCGGGGAAGGAGAGAGGTAGCGAGCGGTGGATGTCATACTGAGCAGGAAGGAAGGAAGGATCGGAGGATTGGAAGCAGCTCTGAAGGTGGTGGTTGAAGCAAGAGGGAGCCGAGGAAACGGTGCCGAGGAAGTGGAGGAGGCAAGCCCCAAATGTAACTGGAGTACTGAAGTAGGAGTTAGGGGGCTGGTAGATTTATGCTGGTAAAATGTCTTGAGAAAGGAAGACATGGAAAAGTTTAACATTTTAACATCAAGAGGAGTCTTCAGTTACTCCGGGGGTGTAAATCAGGGACGTATTGGTGTGAGGTATTGACCCAGTGATCCTAGCTGTAAACAGAAACACTGTCTGGTGTAAAGCCCCCTATTCCAGCCTCTATTCCAGTGAGAGGAATAAGATAAAGGACAAGGAAGGACGAGGACAAGTAGAGGGGGAGAGAGTCTGAGAGGAGAGGGAGGATAAGGAAAGAACGAGGAAAGAGAAAAGAAAAAGGAAAAGAAGGAGGAAGCAAAGGAGAAGGAAGAGGGAAAGAAAGGAAGAGAAGGGAGGAGAAGGAAGAAAGATAATAATATAAAGGAAAAAAAGGGGGAAAGATAGAGAGGGCTTTCTCCCAGCTAAATTAACAATAGCAAGCATTTGCAAGCTGAGCCGAAAAATTTAAAGAAACATGGCCCCCCAAAAAGATAAAGAAAAGCCTCAACAGATAAAAGTGTTTTTTACTCCCTAAAATGAATGGGTAATGGTAGGAAATCCCTACAAATCCAGAACTTACTGAAGGAGAAGTCTATCTCTGAAGAGGGAAATGAATTCTCAAAGGAAATAAATGTTCCAGTGAACCAGATAATGCTATCACATTCATTGGATGAACTCTGGGAGAAAATAAAATCAGATTTGAAATCAAATGTTAATGATTTAAAGCAACAGGTCACGCAAATATCTTCAAACCTTGTAATCCAAATGGAAGAAATTAAACTTTTGAGAAAAGATTGTGAAGCTCTTCAAAAAGAAAATCAAAGTATAACGGAAACCCTGCATAAAACTGAATTAGAACTAGTAGACCTGGAGAATAGGTCGAGAAGATGGAATTTAAGGGGGTCCCAGACGAGATAAAAAATGATCAACTGGAAGATTTTAGCAAGAAAAAGATCTCAAGTGTTAAAGAGGAAGGAAAGATGGGGCATTTTCCATTCGAAAGATTACACAGAATTCCTAAGCCTAAAGACGCTGTTTTTGCGGACGAGCCACGAGATATTATTGTTTGTTTTAACAACACTTATTTGAAAGAATAATTTCTCAAAGAATTCAGGAAAAAAACGATCCCGGAACTATATAATAACATCAACTTCTTTGCAGACCTCTCACTGGCCACTAGGCAGGAAAGGAAGAAATTTAGAGAATGCACCCAATGCCTGAGAGATAGAAATGTTATTTATAGATGGCTTTATCCGACAAAAATTAAGTTCAGAATGGATAACCAAACATTCACTTTTGATGACCCTGAAAGATTTAAAATTAGGCTGAAGCAACTAGGCTTCATGGAAGATTAAATAGAATATGTCTAAAGTGGAGAACATTTGTTGAACCTATATATTGGAAGCACTTCAGACTAGTTTTTTTGCCTTCTTTTGGATCAACAGCAAAAACATAT